TTTAACAATTCATTCTTCCATTGACAGTACTTCAGACCATTTCCAAGTTTAAGCAAACAGTATTCTTGCTGATTTGGCATATATTGAAGAAGTAATCCATATTAACTTTCCAGTTCTTTCTCCATAATGTCTAACAGAAATATTTTTGGTGACATTATCAAATCTTCCTTTAAATCTTTTTGGATCCCTGGTGGTGCAGTGGTTCATTGCCTTTACTGCAGCCACTCACTGACAAACCACAAAGCTGTGAGTTCAATACCAGCCAGGGGCTCAGGGTTGACTCAGCCTGGCATCCTTCCAAGGTCGCTAAAATGAGTACCCAGCTTGATGGGGGCAATTAGCTTAAACTGCTTAGGGAGTGCTTAAGTGCACTGATAAGTGGTATAGAAATGTACTTGCTATTACTATTAATATATAAATCTTAGACTTGTAAATGTTTGCCTTCTTACATGTCCATCACATATGAAAAAGAAGCCCTCCTTATCTTGACAACCCCAACACAGAGTTGAAATATTCTGGGACATTTTCATCAGTTTATTTGGAGTTAGATACCATCTGTACATCAATTTATACAGTTTTTCTTTTAAATTGTCAGTTTTTGAACAGACCTTTGTACATTATCTGTCCCAGTAACAGTAGCTTAATCTGTGACCTATTCATTTGATCTCTCAAATTTATATGAAGAGGAAGGCTGTGGAAGCCCACCCTCTCCATGGATTTGATTCAGAGCCCAATTTGGGGATTCACAAAACAAGCCAATTTAAGTTATTCAGTTTGTACCAGCTGACCTGATGCAGATCTCAAGTCTGAATTGGGATTCAGAAAGACCATTCTTTGGGTTTTCTATTGATTTTTATTGGCAAACCCCCACAGCTATATATTTTTGTTGTTGTTGTTTAAACCTGTGCATGATTTTAATTGTTTTGAATTTTATTGAGATTTTAAATGTTTTATCTGTGAGACACCTTGATCCCTCCGGGGAGAAAGGTGGCATATAAATGAAATAAATAATAAATAATAATAAATAAAAATATTTAGGCACATGGCAGCCCCTTCAGAATGGAACACTTCTTCCGGATTTCAGATAGGTAGCTCTAGGTGTTTTTCTGCTAGCCGCTTTTTCAAAAATTGAATATTATTTTTAATAAGCATGCAGTTAGTTGAGTGCACAGTCATGCCAGTTCATTATTAGTGTTCCTGTGACTTACTCAAGTTCCTGTGACTTACAGGTGTTGCTAGTGCAGTAAGAGTAAAACTGGACAATATGGTTAGCTTGTGTTTTTGCAGGGGTGCCCACCTTGTGATGAAAGATTCCTATCATAGCATTTTATAGTCTTTTGCATTTAGTGTGCTTTGTTTTCATCATTGGAAAGTAGAGGTGGGCTGTATTTGTTAGTCAGGTTACTAATGCAAGTCTCTCTGAGGAAATCCCACTGTAGGAGGGAAAATTGATTAAGTATAGGAAATATGCACTCCACTTAAAGTTTAGGTTAGCCCTGATAGTATGTCTGCGTGTAGCTGAAACACACACATTGCAGACAGATAAAAAGTAGAGTGAAAGAGAGAACTCCAGATTGAAATCAAGCTGATCTCACCAATTTGGAGCTCATCCTAATAAATCTGATTCTGTTAGGAATTTGATAGAAGGGTTTAGACCAGGCCTACATAACATACTGCCTGGGGGCTGCATGCAGTCCAGCAAAGGATTTTGGGTGGCCCACAAGGATGTGCAATGACTTCAAGGCTCCTCCACTGCTTGCCTTTCTCCTGAGGAGAGGGCCATGTGGAGGAGGAGGAGGGGCAAACGTTCACCCTGTAAGTCTCTTTTGCTGCTCAGTTTTCTACTGAGGAGAAGGCCAGGCAGCAGTGAGGATAATGAGCAAATGCTTGCCCTGATGGTGGTGGTGGAGGAGGTTGGGTGAACACTTGTTGCTGCACTTCTCCACTGAGAAGGCCAGGTGGAGGAGGATGGGCAAACACTTGTCCCTCTGGGCTCTTCCACTGCCCTGCTTTTTCCCGAGGAGAAGGAGGATGAGGATGTAGAAGGCAAACTCTTGCCCTGATTTAGACAGAGATAAAGGCGAGAGGGAAGCAACAGCTTCCTCTCATGGCAATGGGAGTGGTGCAGAGTAGCCTGGAGGGAAAGTGAAAACTGATGAGGAGTGGTAAAAGAGATAAAAGACAAATCCGATCAGGGAATGGGCTCTGGTGAATGACTTATGTCCAAATTCTGGAGACAGGAAACTCACTGTTTTTGTATGTATGTTACTTAAAACTGAAATTGAAGTGAATGTGAAATATCATATTCAAGTAAAGTACTGCATTGTACAGTTGCCTCTCTGGTAATCTGCAGCTTTCCTGGTTTCTGATGTTTCAGTTAAACTCAAGGGAAGATTACATAAAGTAACACCATCATTGGGCCCATTTTTCATCAGAAAGTTTGGGCAGCTAGCAAGTCTGAAGAACAATGGAGGGCTGTGCCATAAAAACAGAGATCTGATTATTCTTTCATTTCTTTCTCAAAGAAGCAACAAATAATTGTAGCTATTTCAATTTCACAGAGATAAAATTGTAGAATGTTCAAAGAATATTCACAGTTTGGGATTTATTCCACACAAAATATGCATGTAGTTTTGCTTTTACACAGAAAACAGTATTTTCTTAACAGGAAACATCATTTTCTGTACATAAGATCATATTAATAGTATGTATTTAATATTAATAATTATTAATTAATTGAGAAAAAATTGATAATTGATAATAATTAATGCTACCATTAAGTAATATTAATATTATTTAAGATAAATGTTTCCTGTTTTCTGTACAAAATAAATAAATAAATAAATCTGATGTGTAAATTTTGAATAGAATCAATCCAGAACTTTAATTCTTCTCATGAATCCAGGATTCTCTTCATCAGAGTTTCCTGATATTTAAGAAACACATTTTTTTACTATGTTTTGAATATTTTTTAATATTCTTTGTATCCCTAAATAGAAAAAAAACAAACAAGAAAAAACACAGTGGGCTTGGCTATAAAAACATTTCTATCAAAAGAAATTCTAAAGCACACCAAGAAAGAGTGGAAAACCCCAAAAGCCTCTTTTGTGAATGGTGGGGAAAACCTTCAGTAAACTGGATGGTAAATTTCAGCACAGCAATAGGTGCAAGAACAGTAAGGTATTTCAATGGACAATGAAAGAACACGTACTCTTTGCCCACATTTTTGCCCTCATTTGTTACCATTTCTGTTGCTGCTGTTCTCAGAGGTCAGGAAGCATCTTTGAGTTGGACTGGGGAGAAGCCTTCAGGGAAGAGTTGCATCTTTTTAATGGACAGGCTACTCTGCCTTTGAGAGTAGGATGTGGGCAAGTCAACATATGCCACCACATTCCTTCTTGATGAGACATTTCCAAAAAGAAACAGAGTGTCGTAGAATCATGGAGTTGGAGGGGAACCTCATCTAGTCCAGTCCTCCTATAATGGTGGAAAAAACCCACTTCTAAAGCAACCTGGAGAGGTGGCTATCCAATATCTGTTTAAAAACCTCAAACTCAGGACAGCCCAGCACTTTATAAGTGAGTGCCTCCTACTCTTGAATAGCTCTTACCATCAGATATTGTGTAAGGAGGTATCCCTTGTCCCTGGTGCACAAGGGTTGCCAGAGGTAGATGGACAGAGCTCTGCTCCTGCAACAGCTGATTGGCAATGAGGTGCTGTCCCTGCTCTCCAAGCAAAGGAGAAGAAGGCTGAGTCCTTGTTTTTGTGTGTAGCTTCTTCTTCAGGGTCACAAGGGTCGATGGACACTGCCTAGGCACACTCCTGCAGTCAATCAGTTTACGGTGTGTTTGTGTGAGGCAACGTGGAGCTGTGTCCAGGAACCAGTGCTTTTGAACACCCAGGGAGAAGATGCATGAGAAGACTCTATGAGAGGTCTACCAATAGTCCTATGGAATCCTGGGCAATATCAGCAAACTTTGCAAAATTTGTTGAGAAGACCACTTTCTATCTCTAGACAGAAGATCCATAATTCAAGGCTTTTCTTCTTAATGGATGGTGTGGATGAAACCATCTCTACATCTGTGAACAACATGGAACAGAACAATGAAGTGCAAAGCAACTATTTAACCAACACAGCCCCAGAAGTGTGTATATTTATATGTGAAACTTAACACATTTTCCTTTGTTGGCCTACTTTCGTTAAAGTTGCTTTTTAAATTATGGATGGAAAAACATCATAAAATGCATTAGTTTGTGGTGTGAACGTTTAGAAGAAGAAGGTAGGTTATTTTGGAAGGGAAGAAAATATATGTACATGGAGGCTTGGCAATTTTCAAAATGACCCCTGTTGCTGGCAACCATTTGATCTGCAGCAATGAGCTGCTTTTTGTTTTTTAAATCTCCATTCCCTAAATGGCTTTGCTTGCTGATTCCTACAGAGTTTTCCTCTTTAAAAGCAACAGGAAAAGACTGTATCATTCCCACCCATTCAGTTGTCAGCATTACATTAGTTATATAGAGGTTTTAAAAAGCCTTTCCCTTATAAATTGTGGGGAAATGTCAACTTGCAGGATCAAGGTTGGGTCCTAAAGTCATAAGTGGAGTGGTGGTGAATCTACTCTGGTTTTAGATTGAATTTTAACTGAACTATCTAGGTACCGAACCTGTTTTGAGGATGGGGATCAGCACTTTGGATAGTTGGGTAGGGCTTGGGGACAATCAGGCATGTTCCTATCTCTTTAACAAAGTCTACTCTGCAGAGAACAGTACATGAACCTTTAGCATGACAGGGAACATAACCTCATCACCCCTTCATTACTGCTGGAAATCCTATTTATTATTATTGTTGTTCTGTGACTTCCAATCATTTCCAGCTTACAGCAATCATAAGATAAATGTATCATGGGTTTTTCTTGTCAAGATTTCTTCAAAGGGAGGTTTGCCATTGATGTCCTCTGAGGCTGAGAGAATGTGACTTGACCAAGGTCAGTGGGTTTCTATGGCTGAGCAGGGATTTGAATCCCGGACCCTAAAGTTATAGTCCAATGCTCAAACCACTATGTCACTCTGGCTCTCATATTTTAGTATTCATTAATATATTGATATTCACTTTGAAATACACATCACTACATGTACATTTGAACAAGCTCATTGTATGCAAATACTACCTTATTTTGGTGGCACACTTCCTCTTTTTTGGGGGCAGTGTATCCTAAATTTTGTTTAGGCTGGTATAAATGTGTTAGTATTGTCTATCCCAGGGGTAGGCAACCTTTCCCCTTTAAGGGCCGAGGGACTTCAGTTCCCAGAAGCCTCAGCCATGTTGGCCAATAGTCCCATGTTGGCCAATAGCTCCTGGGATTCTGGGAGCTGAAGTCCCTTGGCCCTTAAAGGGGAAAGGTTGCCTATCCCTGGTCTATCCCATCTCTTTTACCTCAGTTATGCCAGTTCATCTTTCCACATACTTCTTTGATGGCCAGATATTTCATCCCCTGCCATCATCAACCTTTGTTGTCCATGTTTGTTGTACAGTAAAGTTGAAGTTTGCTTTAAACAGAAGGGCATCTTGAATGGAAATGTGTTCCATTGATTGAATGTAGACATGTGTACTCATGTTTGGGACTAGAAAGGAGGGAATATTGAAGGAACCTCCAACATATCAGCAAACCTCCAAGTGCTGCATTACACATCAGTTTCCCCTATAATGAGTCATGGTCTGACATAACCTGGTTTCAAGGGCATTCTTTGGGAAAATGTCAGCCACCAATGGGAATTGCCATCGTTATCTCACAATGCCCCTTGGAAAATTATAAGATCTTGAATATTCTGGGGGAATTAAACATAGCAGCCAGCAGCAGAGAGGAAGTAGTGAATTTAATTTCCTTGCCCTCAAATTTCACCCTCAGTGGAAAAGAGAGATTTTTTTTGGCCTGTTTCACTGTATGTCCCTACCCACCCCCATATTTGAGTAGAGTTTCAAAACTTTCAGTCCACACTATTCCCCCTCACCCCAAATCCAGACAACATTTTTTTTCTCTTGTTCAGCCTCTCAGCCTGCATTAGCATGAGAACATTTTTTTTGCAGACATTGCCCTGAGAGGTGGGCATGATGTATTCAATTCAAGACCGTAGTAACTGCATGTGGCAACTCATGCCAGTTAGGAAAGCATCGTTGGAACAGTGGCAGCACTCTGAATTTTTGTCTGAAACTTAAAAAAGCTATTTTGTGAGTGGACACCAACACTTTGAATTGCTCTTTTAAAGGTCAGACTGAAACCTGGAGCAGATTCATTGCCCCACTGACATGGCAGTCACCAGCTGCCATTGTATTGAGGATCATACTGTTTTTACTCTATTATTTTTTTCTTTTCTTCATATCCCTCCTTTCTCTGAAGCAGATCACATAGGTTAAAGCATGACAAAGTGTTATCTTTCTTCTTTCTTTCTATCATGCTGCATGTATGTAAAATTTGGAAAATTATTTTTGGGCTACATCTGCAGTTGCTAGAATCCTGCATAATCCTATGGTGTCTAGGGAATTCTGGGAGTTGTAGTTATGTTTTTTTTAAAAAAAACAAAAGCCTTTCTCAGACTCTCTACTCAGTAGTATAACTAGGGTGGGAGTCACCTGGTGTGGTAAGTCATGATTATAGAATTCTTAGTCATGTCTTTTGTACTAATGTTAAATTGTAATTCCCATGTATCACTGAATGTAATGGAAACAGTTGTAACATAAACTAGCAAAATTAAAATTATACCTTTAAATTACAATATCATATGCACAGCCTAAATGTATATACATACTTTCATGTGGTTAAAGTGAACATTTGATAAGATGTGATGTTTTAAATAAAAGTTAAATTACATATTCTTAATTTTTAAAAACAAAAATCCCTGAAGCCTCTCCTTTCTCCTCCCATTGAGCCTTTCTCCACTCACACTATCTCTTCGACATTTTAAAGGTATGCAGATACATTTTTGAAAAAAAATCCCTGAGGCCTCTCCTTTCTCCTTCCACCGAGCCCGTTTCTGTCAGAAAGTACCCCCTGCATCTGTCTAATGATACCCCAATCTCCAATACATGCCAGAATGAAACCATTTATTCTTTCTTGTCCTATGTGGAAATGCACTAAGGGCCAGTACAGACCGGCCAAAAGGGTCAGCCTGGGGGTGGAGTCAGGGCATGGCATGCTGGCCACCCCGAATCTGTCCGCATGTCGTCCTCATGCCACCCGCCCAAACAGATGGTGGATGGCATCAAGGCACTCCGTTGGTACAATGTTTAGACATGCTGTGCCAAAGGAGTTCAGAAAAGCTGCTGCCGCGGCAAGGGTAACTTTTTGCTGCTCCAAAAAGGAGCAGCATTTGCCAGCTCTTTTTGCAAAATGCTGCCCCTTTTTGGAGCGGGAAAGTGCTGGATTGGGGCCACAGCATGCAGTTGCCACGGCCCTGTGCTGGCGCTCTCAGGGGTAGCCCCTAAGATTTCTTTTCCCTGCCTATCAGCCATGGTCATTTTTGTCTGAGAGTTTCTGGTTTAAGATTGCTGGCTTTAAGGATGTTGTGAGACAATTCAGCAGACTGACTACTCCCAGAATGATGTTCTGGGAAGAGTGGGATGATGATAATGATGATGATTTCAAAAAAGGCTTATTCAGCTGCATCATCTTGGCTGCTTTACTGAATTTTACATGGATTTTAGATGTCATCATCCTATACTTGTAACCCTTCCCTGATTTTCTTTTTTCTTATCTCAGCATATCTGTTAAGGAGAGAAGGCAGACTAGCTCAGAGCACTTTCATACTGCTAGTCTGATAAAAGTCTTGTCTGAAACTGTCCTAAGAGCTGGTGTGTACTTTATATTTGCAAGAGTGTTATCACATTCCTGCAGCGAAGGCATAAAGAGTACAGCAAAGGGGCATGGCACAAAACACTTGGAAGGGAGAGATGAGCCTAGGCTTGCAAAATCTTAACCTATACTATACAGTCTCCTTTGAAGAAAGTTTGCTGGTACTGCTGGCTTACGATTAAGGAGAGTAACCTGGTCATTTCAGGCTGCAGATATTTGAGATGACAACAAGACATTAGAGAAGAGAGGTGTGTTCCATGCAGCTGGCCAAGTTAGCTTGCTGTGCTCAAGTATGGTGGAAGATGATATCCCATCATCAGTGTTGAAAAATTCAACTATCAGATCTAGTTGGCTGTGTTACATGGGCTGGGAAGGGTCACCATCTTGAGCTGGCCTCATTTGTTTGGAAGAAGTTGGCAGGTGGTCATGTTTAAAAAAAAGGCTTAATTTGTTGGTTTTTGCAGCACAGACTAAGCTATGTTTTAGAAATACAAGCATCATTTATTTCATATTAATTGACTACACTGACATGGATGAATAGAGTTATATTTAAAACAAGTATGTAGAGATGGCCTACTCCAGTGCTATTCAAAATGGTTACCTGTGGACTGGTGCTGGTCAGTGAACCATTGGTTGCCAGTCCATGTCAAGTTTCCAGGAAAGAAAGAAACAGTTGTAGCCAATGGGTATAAATATGGTTGTGGTCCCTGGCCCATTGGCAAAAAGCCCAGGTGGTACCTGATATCAGATAGCTTAAGAAGCACTAGTCTACACCATTCCAGCTAGAAGATTCTGGGAATTATAGCTGTCCAAAGGTAACATTTTCCAGCTTTGGTTTACATAGACTGGCAGTAGTTCCTCAGGATCTCAAGCAATAATTGTTCCCTGCTTTACCTGATGATACCAGGGATTAACCCTAAGATGCTGTAAAGCACATGCTTTACCAATGATCTAAAAGGTCTTTTTCAGAGCCACTTGGCAATTCAGCAGACTGACTACTCCCAACTATCTGTCTGGCATACATTTGCTATATATTTGGAGATGTGCTTTTCATAATTATTTCCTTTCCTGTGAAAAAAAAATCATTGTGTGTAAATGTAGTCAATAAAAATCACTTCACATTTCATGTGGCAGTTATTCTTTCTGGTTTATATGTTACACAGTATACACAGCAATTGCTGAAACTATTCATCTGACCCTTTGGTGCTTCTACCATTTTCACCTATCCTTACCTAAACGTATCTTTATAGCCATAAGGTTTCAGGTTTTACTATTAAATGGAATTTACACAAGCAGAATATGGCAGACAGAAATACATCTTGCTTTTTTTTTTTTAAGCAGCATACCACCCTGAGTAGATATTATCTTCTTATCTGATTGTGGAAGCTAAACAAGTTTGGGCCTGGCTAGCAGGTAGATGGGAGGCCATCATGAAATAATATGATACAACTCCAGGCTGAGCTTGGAAAAAATCCTACCTGAAACCCTGGCGAGATGCTGCCAGCTGAGTTGATACTACTGGGATAGATGCAACTATGGTCTGATTCACTGCATGGTTTGCTTCTTATATTCTGTAATCATGACATACATCCAAACCTGCCTTTTGAATAGGAGCATCTTCATTTTAAAAATACATGGATATTGTCACACAAGAACACCAATCCTCCTGTGTTTAGGAAATCTCTCATAAATCCAAAGACTTTTATCCCTCAGATAATAACAAGTAAGTTGTTAAATAGTATGTAGGATAGTAAGCCAAAAATGACAGATGCCCTTCTCTATCTTACTTGGCTCTCTGCCATTCTCATGCAGAGCCCAGGTGTACACAGTGTGCAGATGGGGCTGCCTTAATTAATCTGTCTCTTTTACACAACCACTGCAGTTTTGTGAGTCACTATACAAAAGAGCTTGTAATATTTGTCCATGTGTGTGTTTAATTTTTCTGACTGCAGATGGCCCTAATGAAGATTCATGGATCCTTCACTACCTTTCAACCTTGGGTTTTTATCTGTAAAATGGAAGCAATGCTGCAGTTTGCTGTGGAGAAAACATATACACACATGTATAAGGTCTGGGTTGAATTTCCCTCTCTGTATCCTTTCCCATGGAGGTGCAGGTTTGATTGGCTGAGAGAAAAACCAGGATTGTTTCAGGTGCCAAAATTTCAAGCATTTGAAGACTGCTATCATATCACCTTTCAGTCTTCTTTCAGAGGTTGGAAAATT